CACACTTAATCCCGCAAAGTGTGTTCGGAGTGCGAGAAATTAAGTTTCTTGGGCACCATATATCACCGCAAAGCATCAAACTCACATCTCCTAGCGAACAAACCATCGAAGATTTCAGACCAGCAGCCAACAAAGGAGGAGTGAGAAGTTTTTTGGGACTTTTCAGCACGGTTCATTCCCAATTTCAGTAGGTACTATCAGTGAGCCACTCCGAACTGAACAGGTCTTTTTAAGAATTGAATAATAGGATACTCGCTCCCGAACAGCACAGATCTTTCCAAGAATTGAAGAATAGGATACTTGCTTTCACGGTACTTGGGTTATATATTGAGAATGCTCCCACAACGCTTGTAACTGATGCCAGTTCAGTTGGTTTGGGAGCAGTACTAATCCAACACCAGCTGGTAGGAGGTGAACGTCAACCAGGGGTCATCAAATATGCCAGTAGATCTCTAGCTGAAACTGAGCAAAGGTACTCACAAACAGAAAAGGAAGCCCTAGCTATTATATGGGCCTGGAGCATTTGTACATGTTTCTGATAGAAAACAAATTCCAAATAATTCCGAATCATAAGCCTCCTGAGATAATCTATTCTGCTAAGCACAAGCCTAGTGCACGAATTCAAAGATGTTTTCAAAGAATTCAACCGTTAACGTTCAAAGTGATATACAAACCTGGCAAAAATGAAATTGCTGTCGAGACTCTCAGATGTTAAAAAGGCACCAACTGAAAGTGAAAATAAATAAGAGAAAATTTTGCTCAATACCACAAATATGTCAGTCCCTACAGCCTTGTCAATTGATGAAGTACGCTTGAACACTAGTGACGATTCTGAAGTGTCAAATCTGAAAATAGCAATCCAAAAGAGAAAGTGGCCTAAGGAGCTCAAACGTTTTGAACTTATTCAGCATTTGCTATGTATTGTGAATGAACTCATCCTTGGAGGTACTCGCATCGTTCTGCCGTTGTCGCTCCATTTAAGAGCCCTAGGGCTTGCCCATGAGGGACATATTTCATACTGTGGAATGAAAGCCAAAGGACCAAAGTCTGGTGGCCTAGTCTTGATAAAGACGTTGACTAATGGGTTGATACCTGTGGAGGATGTAGATTGGTAGGCAAATCTTCACCTCCAGAGCCATTAGTCGCAGAACAGAATTGCCTTCTAAAGTGTGGGAATTGGTTTCCATTAACTACTTAGGTCTTTTACCGTCAGCTCATCACCTATTATTCATTGTTGACTATTATAACAGGTATCTAGAAGTAGAAATAGTAAAAAGTCCATCAGCTGAAAACACCATGAAGGCTCTACTACCAGTAATTTGTCGAGAAGGTCCTATGGAAATGTTATCATGTGATAATGCACCAGCTTTCATCGATGGTGGATTCAAGAAATTCCTCAATAAATATGGTATCACTCTGAGGCATTCTACACCACTCTGGCTACAAACCAACGGAGAAGTGAAGAGGCAGAATATAAGTGTTCTTCGCCGGTTACGCATTGCAAAAGCTCTCGAACTGGACTGTAAACGAGAATTGTTGGTATATCTTGCAGCGTACCGTACCACACCACACACCACGACAGGCTTTCCACCTGGAGATGTGTTCAGAGGAAAGGATGATTCGAACCAAGCTACCTGAAATGAACATTCACGATAAACATTTTTGAGATAGAGAAATAAGGGACAGAGAGAGAGCTAATAAGGAAACAGGGGCCAGATAGCCGTGCGGACAGAGTGTCAATATTTTAATCCGCATTCGCTCGCTGGTCGTGGGTTTGATTCCAATCGACTGCAGAATTGTTTCTGATAGCCCAAGAAAGTGTTTGGGATCACACGTTGAAAGGTAAGGCCACCATCATTCCTTGCTCGCACAAGACTCTTGAAGACTTCTGAGAGTTGCTAGTGAGGGGGCAACCGAATGACGGATAGAACACTTTTGAAACAAAACAATTTAGGAAAGAGATACACAGATTTCAAAAGACGTGCAAAACCCAGAAGTATTGTATCAGGAGATCAAGTGTTGGTACGTCAACATAAAATGAACAAGTTGTCCACGCCATTTTCACCTGTGAAACACACAGTTGTGTGGAAAGAAGGAAGATGTGTGGCTGCAGAAAGCTAATAAAAAGAAATTCCCCTTTCTTTCAGAAGATCCAAAATAGAAATCTGGATGATTTGAATCATGATGCCATTACTCCTGAATCGAATAAGGTTGTCCAATAGCACGACAAAAGGCATTCCAAGGCACCTTCTAGTCAGACCGGGTCAGATAAACCAACCGGTACTGTATCTGAGCCGCAACCCCTACAAGATGCGACACGTTCCCAAAGGATTCACCTACCGCCAGTGAAGTTCGAGGACTACGTGTTGAATTGAAATTGACTATTTTCTGATGTTTATTTCTAGATGTTTTGATGATCATTTTCTGTTTTCGTTTGTTTGTTTCTATAGAAAGTAAGAGATGTAGGGCGCTCAGTATATTGAGTTCTGGTAGTTGTCAAAGGGACACCGAAAAATGATAGTTTGTCAGTTGTAAGAGCATGGCACAATAAAGGCCGTTACGTATCATTGACTGTGTTTAATTACGGAGTTGAATCTAAAGACTGAACTCGAGATACTACAGAGCCTAGCTTCTATGATACAATTCCATTCAAAATTAGTATGTTAGGATTTTCGGGGTTAGAAATTATGATACTTGCGTCAAAATGATTGCGGAATTTCAAAATGGCAGATCTAATATGACAAACTAGTTCTGAAATTATGATCCAATTCTATTCAGAATGTGAATTTCATGATTCGTGGTCGTTGATAATAATTCTTTCGTCGGAATGAGGAGATTGAAGATGGCGGATCCAATATATCGGACGAGCTTTGTGATTATGATTCGATTTTATTCAAAATTGGTATCTGTTTCGGGGTTAGGAATTATGATTATTTCGTCAGAATTGATAAATCTGAAATGGCGGATACAATCATTATGTTCCGATTCTTTTCAGAATTTGTATATATTGGTTTGAGGAGTCGGAGATTACGGTTCCTTTGTCATAATAATTGAGAAAATCGACACAGCTGATTCAATATGTCGAACATCCTTCGTGATGGAAAGTGTTTTGAAAAACTAATGGAACACGCTTTCATGGATAGTCAAGCATAAGAGAAATAGAAAGTAAATAGTAGTTCAAAATACTGAAGAGATAAATAAATGAACTGAACAGAAGTATAAAATCGAAAGTAGTTCGAATAACTATGAAGAGACGATTTCATGGCTGGTCATACTAACAAGAAGTTGGAAGTAGAATGTTAAGAGTTTTTTGTTGAATATTCAACTGAAAAAGTATATTCTAGAGATGATGTATATCGCAAAACAACCTTTATCGGGTCATATAGTTTTTAATAAGCATTGAACAATTCTATACTATCTTGAAACACTTGTAACTCTTCTTCAAGAAGAGATATTCACGTTAATCGAGAACCGTTGTGTTGAGAAATAAACGACAAGGAATTACAAAAAATCAAAAACATGTGTGGCTGAAGGACTTCGGTCGATGGTCTTTTGAATATTTATACTCAATAAAGTTCATTTTGTTGTTGTTGTTCAAAAACATGATGATTCAGAGGTTTGGGGAATCGGTTATGAATTGTCCTCGATACTTATTATAGAATTTCGTATTTTTCAATACACTTGTGTCTCCTCTTGTGAAGAAGACATTGACGTGAATTGAAAACCATTGAGTTGGGAAAGGATCACGCATCCTGAACGTGATGAAGCTATGTTCAACCACTCACCTGAGCAACAGAGCGTTAGGAAGTTACGGGTGTGAGAAACTCTTGTTCCTCCCTGTATTATGATCATCTAATAAGCTCTTGTTCCAAGATTGGAATTCGAACTAATACTCAGGAACATGAATCTACAATTCGGTTGAAATTTCACCAGAATCGGCCAAGAATTGAAAAAGTTACAGTGCGATCAATCAGCCAAAATTTTTTGCTGGCTGGTAATTTGCCGGTGGGTGTATAATTGTTCTGAAATTGTTCTGAAATTATTCTGAAATTATTCTGAAATTGTTCCTATCTGTATCCTGTCGCATCCTTACGAGCAACCCTCAGATGTCTCCGAGAGACTTGTGCGAGCAAGGAATGACGGGGGCCTTACCTTTTAAAGTTTGATCTCAAACACTCGTTCAGGCCATCAAAAAAATTCTGCAGTCGTAGAATGGAAACCACCAACCAACAATCCATCGTGAATAGAATACTGACGCTTCAACAATGCGGCTAACCTGGCACTGATTCCATAATTATACTCAAAAAGTCATGATACTCATTATTATTTCGATACATCAAGATAATCAACATTCCTATCAGCTGCGAAGTAGGAATCTTCTGATTCACAAAATATTTACTCTTTCATAAAAATAAAGCCACGATACAATTGAAGAGTCTGTAACATTTTCCGAGGAGATATTCTGTCATGTGAGCTATATCTCACCAATGAAAAAGAAAAAGATTTTGCCTTCCTAGAAAAAGAAACATATTTGCATTTCATTCAGATTTTCTGATGAATTTTTTCTGGTCACCGATTCATTCTTCATTATATTTCTAGCGATATTCGTGATCACAATTAAGAGACGAAAATGGTTCGATTCGTATCTAATGAGAGCTAACATTTTTCATTGTCCACCAAACCGCTACCGTCACATGTGGTCAAGGTCCATAGAACTGATAAATATACTCTCCATTTCCGGGTAATCTAGCCTTTTGCTATGACGGCTCACGTCTTCCGAGAACTTGAGGTTTTCTATTTGTTCAAATATTCCACATCATTTTCATCAAATATTCTCGATGAAACAGGCCATTGCTTTGAGGGCTATCCTGCCAAATTTTGAGATTTTTGACTTTAACATTGACCTCATGTTTTAGTTGCGCCAATTGATAAGAGTGAAAATGTTAGCCCCCATTACTTTCTGATTTTGTCACAATTCAACAATTTTACATTGTTTTCAGGCTGCAGCAGCAGGGTTGATAGCAGTAGGTGTATTATATAAAGTAAATAATGTGGGATTAGACGTACTATCTGTCAGTACATACACTATTGTAGTAGGTGTCGTAATTGCACTCATCGCCTTTTTTGGATGCTGTGGAGCGATAAAAGAAAGTAGATGCCTGCTATCAACGGTACGTAAATTGAACATGTATTCAGATTTCTTCACTACAGGCTCTAGAACACACAACTTTTCATGCTATCTTCCACCTGATGGCGAGTTCTTCTCACTACTGGTCTTGATTGCCCAATACCCATAGACCACTTATAATGGCAAAAATAGAATGTCCTTGGACTGTGGATTGTTTGACCTATGCTCTATTATTTGTTCAGGTTCGTTTACATTATATTCACTCTATTATAAAGATAAGTGCTGCAGAATGATATTCTTGTAGCAAACAAAATAATCAAAATGTTTCATCATCTTATGACATCTAATAAAAATAATGCAATAATTATTGTAGTCAACTACTTACTAAAGTCAAGCAATGAAGTACGCAGATATCACACCTCAAAGTCCTTGCTATAGGACTGTTATGTCTTCGTGAACAATGAAGAATCTATCTATTTATATGTTGAGAGTGAGCATGTCTCAGAGTGTCTATAAACAGAACATTCCTCTCAATAAAAAATATATAATTCGAGAAATCAGATAATAATAATAATAATAATGATAATAATATATCTATACTATCACGATAAATTGTGAGAGTTTGGAACAGGCAATTGTTCATATGTCTCAGCACGTCATCTGATTTTACTTCAAGTCAAGTCAAATTATACTTTATTGTCAAAGACAAACCAAACATTAATGAACATAGTTGCGTTGAGGCAAATATTTGAAATTCAAGTAATAATAATTCACAGGTATTCACAGTAGAATTCATAGATCGAATAAAAGGCTCTTTCGATTAAAAGATCTTCAACTGAACTTCGAAATGTTGTGTTATCTGTGATATTTTTCAGAATAATGGGGAGATGATTGTATACTTTGATACTTTCATATTTCAGAGAATATTTTGTCAAAGCAAATTCAGGAATAGGTGAATAAAGCATATGATTCTGTCTGGTATTGTGACAATTTGTTCCAGGAGTGTACATGCTAGTTTTATTTTTATGAATTGAGCATACTGTTTCCATTATGTATTGACAGGTGACAGTTAATATTTTATGATTAATGAATAGAGGCTTGCAGTGATCTCTCGATTTAAACTTTGTTACATATCTCAATGACCTCTTCTGAAGTGCAAATATTGTATTTAGTAACTGTAAATTACAATGGCCCCAGATAGCTATTCCATAGCGAATATGAGATTCGATCAATGCAAAGTGAGCCATTCTAGTAGCATACCCTAGCTCATTTGATATCACTCTTATTGCATAACATCCACTAGAAACCTTCTTACTCAAATGGGTTACATGTTCTCTGAAATTTGATTCATTGTCTATGTAAATTCCTAGGAATTTAATGTGCTGTTTGTTTTCTATGTAGTGGTTCTCTAATTTTGAATCATCTAGTGTACATTTGGAAGTTACTAGATTTGTTTTGTCTAGGTTGAAGCATTAATAGTTTGCGTTACACCAGGTTTGAATTTCTTGAACATCTGTTTGAATCATATTTGGAAGCTGCGTAATTTCTTTATTGCTCCATATAATAGTGGTATCGTCGGCAAATACAGTGAATTGCCCTCCTATGTCAATAGTTATTAGATCATTTAAATGATTCGAAAACAATCTTCCTCCTTGTTTCTTCAACGTTGGCCTCGTTCTGCTACTGAGGTTAATCACCGACGCCGGTAAGTACTCTACCTTCAACTGGACATTTTGCCGAATCCTCTGGTGTTCCAACCAGAGGAAGCTCTGAAATGCTATTTCGCCACCAATGTGCGGGATCACGCAACGTTTCCTCGAATGGTCACCCATCCAAGTACTAACCGCGCTGGACATTGCTTCACTTCAGATATCGAACGTATCAAAGAGTTTTATTGTCCGCATAAATTACAGTACATCACAAATTCACAGGCACATTCCAGAAAGTAACATATTACTAGGGCTCAGGGCTCTGTGATGAGTCCTCCACGTGGTGCAGACGTGGCTGGTGTTGGCCAGGGAACGGGGGTATATTTGTGAAGTGTTAGTCTCAGAGGCCTATCTCCTGGGGCCAAGCCCCTTATATAGGTGATCTCGCCGAGGTTACCCATGAGGGTGAGGGAGCTGATCAGTCGCTATCAGTGATGAGTGCTTTGAAGGGGGATGGAGAAAAATGAACGGTTGCAAAAAACGAAAACATCCTGCTCGTTAAGCTATCGGCCCGTCCCGTCCGCGCCCCTCGCCTGGTCCTGGCTGTGGGCCAGTGTCGGCAAGGGAGCACGTGCGCTATTGATCGAGTTCAGTGTCGGATCGTCACTGTGGGTGGGATCCTCCACTATTTATTTTCATGCCTTGAGAAATTGTGGTGTCTAGATCTTCACCGGAGCTACGCTTTTGCTGCGATGGTCCGGGGAAATTCCCGACTATAGATTTCCAGGATCTGCAAGAACATTAGTTGATGCATATATCAGCCTGTGTTTTTTAGGTATGTTGTGGTGTTGTCTTGTTTGTGTTATATTTCCGAGTATGGTCACTAACAGCGATGTGGTATTTGTGAAACTCGTTGGGCGTTTTAATAATGGAGTCTCTGATTCTTGGCAAATTACCACATCTCTCGTGAAGATCTGCCACTCACGAGTATCGATCACCGTTGGTGATTATACGGAGAACTTTGTTCTGCAGCACCTGAAATCTGTTCATGTGTGTTGGTGGGATGCTGCAGAACACCGGGCACGCGTACGTCATCACAGGTCAGTGACCGTGTCCCTCACCTCGACCCCTTTGACGGTCAATGATCTGTTCAGCTTGGAATCATTGACCTTCTGATGGAGATTGATTACTTCCGTTTCAGAGCTGTTCATACAGATCTTTGACTCGTCAAAGTAGGGCACGATTCTCCTGTCCAGATGAATCTGGATTTGCTGTCTGGCAATATCCGAGTCGGCCGAGTGCGCATATATCGCAGTATCGTCTGCCTACAGTGCTGTGCTCGTCCGCTCGAATATAGGAAAATCGTGCGTATACAAGGTGTATAGCAGAGTTGAAAGGCAAGATCCCTGCGAAACACCTGCCTCGAGTGGAAAATTCCCCGACATACTTTCGTTGCCTGGATTTTCCTATTGGTGGCATATGCATCTTGACTCTGATGATAAAAATCGGCACTTTGGCCTTATACAGCTTGGACATTAGACCTCCGTGCCAGACGGTGTCAAAGGCCTTTTTTATGTCCATCATGACCAAAACAGTGTTTTTGTTGCTATTGCTGGCCTCCTCTACCTCGTGAACAATTCGAGCAACTTGGGACACTGTGCTGTATCACTTGCGGAACCCGAATTGTTCCTTTGGTATGAGGTCCAGCTGTTTAATGTGTCGTGTTATGAGTCGTAAGAGGACTTTATCCACGATCTTCGCTACTGCGCTATGCAGAGATATAGGGTGGTAGTCATTAGTTGATTTCAGGTCTCTTCCCTGTTCAGGGATGGGTACAACAAGCTCAGTCATTTATTAGGTAATGCAATTGGACAACAGCTTTGCGAGACATGTTTTTCAGGAGAACCATGTCAAGTCCATCAAGCCCTGGTGCATGCTTTATTGATGATATATTTGATGATTTCTCTGATTTCTTTTGGGGTAGTTATTGACTTGACCAGGGCTTGTCTCGAGAGCGGGCTGATGGGTAGCGATCTTATGCGTGCTGCCGTTGCCACCATGTGTTCCTGGACTTCATTTGTTGGATTTTTGTCGATGCTGCAAATTTTTTGAATGTGTTTCCCAAGCACTACCGCCTTCTCCAGATATGACACCGGTTCCTCGTGACCGTATTCCATGGTTGGGATAGGAGTGAATTGCTTCTTCAGCCTCTTGATCATCTTCCACAAAGTATTGTCACGAGGGTCCGGGCTCTTCAACTTGACTCTCCAGGAGGAGTTCCTGAGCTCTCGTATTCTGTATTCAATTCCATTACAGATTCTACTGAAGGCGACTCTGGCTTCTGGTGTTTTGAGCCTTTGCCAGCGTTACCTCAGGATCTTCTTTCCTGCGATGAGCTCAAGAATCTTCTCCGGGAGTTCTTCCTTATGTTTTTAATGAAGGCTTTCATTTCAGCATCCATTTCTTCGACTATTATTTTTGATTGCGGTTCTTTGATCTAGATGTGCTCTGTACATGTGCAAGTTCATGTTTTTATTTTTGAAAAACATTCTGGGGGTTGTATTCCAAATTCAAACAGAACTGGCAGATGATCAGAGCTCAGCTCATCTACCGCCCCGAGGTCAGAGATATCCACCACATTCTTGGACAGCACTATATCCAGCACTGTCGGTGACATTCCATTGATGGGGTAGTGCGTGGGAGTGCTAGGGAAGTCCAGGTTGACATTGACGGCCTGCAGGTATGCCCTCAGTCTGCTCCCGATCTGATATTGTTCTGGACCTGGTTCCCTAGTCCGCATGCCTTGCATTGAAGTCTCCACCTATCATTACCTTGATAGCAGCACTTACCAGCGCCTCTAGATCCTGCTCTGTAAATCTGTTCCTGGGCCTGTTGTGAAAATAATTTTCCCACTCCGTAGCCTGCGTGCTCGATTGAGCTTTGCCTTGGTGGGACCACGGTGTGGGGAATATTGTTCTCAATTAGGATGGCTACCCCCTCCTGCATCTGTCTGTACCAGGTCGATCGACCCTGACCGTGGTGAAGCCTCTTACTTTGAGGTTATGGTCATGATGGAGCTTGGTCTCAGACAAAAGTGTAATATCTGAATACTTGTCTGGCGTAGTTTTTTCTTTCTCATTGTAGTTCTTCCTGTAACAAATAATTTCTGCTGATAATGAAGCTTTGAAACTTCGAAACATGTCCCAGGTCCAATTTTTATAGAAATAGTTTTTATGGAGTTCACTATGAGATTTTCCTCCTGTCCCAGTAGCTGAGGGATTTGATTTCAGGACACATTTCTTATTTTGTACCCAACAATACGTCCACGAAATATTTACATTTGATTTCGAAACAACCTGTACGGAATATCACTCAAACTGTGATATTGTTTAACAATATGGAAATATGCACTTAATTTCGTTGCATTACAGGAAACAGAATTCCCTTCTTTCACAGATTCCTATATGAAAGAATTGATGCTGGATATTGAAGGTTATTTTCTATCAAACTTTGCAAAGAATGCAATCTATCAAAATAAATGTAGAAAGCAAGTTAGTCAATGTGTCTGTTTTCCCATGGTCTTTATAGTTCCCAAACTAGGTATGAATGATGTAACACAGATTTTTTACAGGAAATTGTTGTTGGTCATTTGAATCCAGTGTGAAATATGCTGCAACTATTATCAATGCCTGCAATAGTGATAATTCCAGTAACTGTTTTATACAATAAAAGAATACTCTCGAATTCTCAATGAAACATGAATATTTATGATGTTTGACGGTGAAAGTGCTTGTTTCGAAGAACCAGTAGAGACTGAATAGACTTGAAGAGTATAGAGTTCATGTTGTTCAATTATCCACTAACATAATGATTCTTCTTTTCAGTATGCCTACGTGATGGTTACGATATTTATTCTCCAAGTAGTACTGATAGTACTAGCTTTCCTTGCAATGAAAAATGGTAATTTAGAATTGGATGAGGAGGTGAAAACATATCTGACAAAAATATATGAAAATATATTCACCAGTCCTGAAGAAGCTGACATTGTGAATACACTTCAACGTTATGTGAGTTCATTCAAATTGAGTAAAGTATCTAGGTGTGACGAAAGAACAGTTGTCGATGAGTAGTGCACCTACCGCACTACCAGATCAATGAATACATTATCTCACCGATGCCAAATATACGAAGCATCATGCATGAGTCAAAACGTCGAAAAGAGTGAAAAAACGTAAGAAACTTCACATCTGAAGAATGTGTTTCAGTGTGTGTGAAGAGTGATGTTTCAGAGAGGTATTCTTTTCACGCTTCTTCGACGTTTCGACGCATCCGTGACATTTGCGTGACGTGTGCGAGCCCGTCGTATATATAACATGAGCGAGATATACATTGATTGGTCAGGTAGTGCGGCAGGTGCACTACCAGACCAATCATCTTGATGAGTAAAACTCCATACCTCATTACTAGTCGCATAACCACAACGACGCGTAGCGGAGGACGACAAAAAACCCTGAGCTAAATTCTAATATTTTATCCTGTGTATAATACATTATCTCTGTTCGTGACAGGGAACAAGACGAATTAATATTGAGAAGTTATTGCATTATATATAGAAATCAGAAAATTATCGACGTGCTATTTGAAGTTCATAACAGGAATGCCACCTGCGGTGCAGGCATCGTCATCATTCTTTTGGAGTAATCAAATATTTGTCAGTCTAATTCTGTGATTTGATTTTCGAAAACTGCGAATTCAGTGGTTGTTCAATAGTTCACGTAACCGCGAAGTCGAATAAAAGATAAAATGACTTGCATTTCTCTCTCGGACTCGGTGTTATTGACTCATTTTTCGGAACTATAGCACAACAATTTATAAAAAGTGACATTTCATGACCTGTCAACATTGATGAAATATCTAACGTTTCTCCTGTCACAAAAAATATTATTTGTAATGATGATGGAAATGTGAAGGAATGTGATCAAGATTTTGAAAATAATATCCTATAATATCGACAATAACATCACACAGAAAAACACTTTCGATTGAAGTGTGCATCAATGCGAAGCGAATTGATGATTATTGATCAATAATGTTGTTTTGACCTTCGAACAATTTATATACTTTCGATCAGGGAAAACAATCTCTCGTATCTAAAAAACACAATACTAGATGATGTATGAATATGAAATTTTCAATCTACGGAACGACATTCACCTTTGGAAGAAGGAGAATGATATTGCATTCTTGATTTATTCGTGTCTTCTTGAAATTCAATGATGAACTGAGCTTCGATATTTATTTTTTAGTTCGAATGTTGTGGAATTGATAAAAGCTACACATTGGTCACAAATGCCACTAGTGGATTACTCATAGAAAGCTGCTTTTCAGATACAGATACACAACAGAAAGTGATGTATATGAAGAACTGTGTCAACGAACTCCGTGATTTCATCATGAATAATGCCAAAATAATTGGGGGAATCGCTATTGGTGTTGCTTTAGTTGAAGTAAGTGAAAATTTACTGTGTTTTGTCCCAAAAGCTTATCAAAAGTGTATGGCCGCTTTTTAAATATAGGTAAACATAAATAACTCCATTTTGACTCATTATATATCATATGGGTGCTAATGATATAACATTCTTGTTTCAGCTCGTAGCAGCTATTTTTTCATTCTGTGTGAAGGACAACATCAGCAGACAACACGAATTTGTATAAATGATTATGAAAACACATCATGGAATTAATCAACAATAATAAATACTCAAATGTTTTCAATGAAGTACATTATTCTCACATAGCAAAATAAAATATCGAGCATATTTCTGAGCGGTATAAGAATATTGAGATCATATTCCAAGAATATTCTCACAATTTCGTTTCTATATACTGAGCATACAGGGTGTTTCAGAATTGAATGTACATACGATGCATGTTGATAGTGGACACCCTGGTGATTCTGAATCACCCCTCATTGATGTGCCTGTTGTTCTTTATTACTGAGATACAAGACGTTTTCTACATTTTGGCATAATATTCTTGTGGTCATAACTTCTGCACCACTTTGTATAATCTAACGATACTTGGTATACATAATTCACTTACATCACCGATAACAACTAAATAGGAATGGAAATCAGAATCCAGGTACGTCTTCAGAACAAATTCAAAATTTCTCCAATTCTAAAAACAACAACCTGTACAGCAAAATATTGTAGATCTGTTTCGATATTTGAAAAGAGCAGACAAAATTGTATACATTACCCCAATTCAGTGACCGCGCATCGATGTGGCATATGTAACGGGTAAAATTGAAACCGATAATATTAAAATCGTAATATTAAAATCATGATTTTAAAGTGTGTGCGTCATTTCAGGACATTTATCGAAAATGCACAATCATTTTAATTTCAAAAACAACACTCTGTTTATTCTACTTCTCCAGATCAGTTTCGATATTTGAAAAGGGCAGAAAAATGAGTCTACTCAACCTAGTTTCAATGATCGCGGTGTAATGAAGTGTTTTTGGCCAGCTTCAATACTAGACTGGTTTTGATTAGTGTCTAAGTAACCAGAGACTGATTCCACTTGAATTTCACTTGTTCGAAAGAGCGAAACCCAAAAACCTGAGAGAGCTAAGTAATGCATTGATTCCTGACTTTCCAAAGCTTTTTCTGATAGTAAACTCTGATGAACATCATCACAACCCTAAAGGCTTCAATATTTTTCAACCCATTAATTGCTTATGATATGAAGTTTGGATAAATTATTTATCAGTTGAAATGATGGATGTTTACCTAGTCATACCTTTTTTGTTATTGGACTTTTTCTAGTCAAATTCATTCAGTAGCATTAGCAAAGGTAGTAGATTTTGTTCCTGTGCCCATTTAGGGTTAAATATAATTTTTTCCGTATTTTTGTGAGTTTAAGAACATGTGCTTTTGGATGATCCCTAATACCACACTTATGTCCCATGGATATCCTTAGGACGTCCTGTCGGGACATTCAGGACGTCCATAGGACGTTCGAATTTGGTACCGTGGACGTCCATTGGACGTCTGTGGGAAGCACAAATGTCCCACTTGAGGACCAACTAGGGACGTCCTTGAGGGATGTCCCTGGGACAACTATCGAATACCTAAATCCTACAGTATTCCTCATCAAGCACTACAGAGGACAACCTTAGGACATCCATAAGACAACTTATCAGCAACGCTGAGGGATATCAATTGGATGTTCATAGGATGTCCCAGGGACGTACGAATTATCCTTGAATTTGAATTTTTCTGGGTCCTCCTAGGACCAGATTTTGCATAAGTGATTAGGACATCCAGTTGAGTTGATGGTTCGTAGAAGGTCCGCAAAAAGTTTCCCATGGATGTCCAATGGACTTACGTGAAGGACATTGACGAGGAGTACTTATAGCCTACTAGCAATCATTTCTGGTCGAGGTGTAACTTAACGTCCTCGCAGGGACAACATATTGAAAGTACCGACTGGGACGTCCATAGGACGTTATTTCTAGGCCATTGGAAGAGTACAGTTCATGTACCAATTGGGACATCCGACGGATATCCCTAAGGGACATTCGAAGGATATCCTCAAGGGACATTTCAATTGTAATACGATCCTGGAAATATTAGGGGCGTCTGTGCAGAGATATTTGAAGGAATGTACCATCAGGGACATTTCATGGTTGTCTAGAAAGAACATTATATAAGAGCTGGAGTCATGCCCGAATATGTACTACTCGGGACATCCCATGGATGTCCCAAAAGGAACGATTAAAATCATATCCCATCTGGGACATGCCAAACACGTCCTTGCATGGACATTCTACAATATGTACCACGTGGGACGTCTAAAGGATGCTATTTATAAGACATTTGAAATGATGTACCAGCTGGGACATTCCGTGGACGTCCTTGTTCAGACATTGCATGAGATGTACGTGATGGGACGTCCCAAGGGCACTTATTTTTGGTTCAGGACATTTAGACGTGAATTGTACCAAATAGGGACGTCCCTAGGACGTTGTGTGCTATTAGGGATAGTTCCTGCAGCCATAGTAGAGTATTCCGACCAATAAGAAACTAGGATCGAGCTGTCCTTGTATCGAGGTCAAGGGGGGAATATAAATACTGAAGACAAGTCTGCACTACCTGATCTACTTTCTCTGCTCTTCAAGCTCTTGTTTCTCTTGCTGATCTCCCAGTGCTCTCCTGTTTCATTCAAAACCAGTGTGAAGTATTAATGTATAGTGTTTTCCTGTTGCACATGTAAGTTTGTGATGAGCTAGTCTGAACCGGAAGAAAGTGAAGTTTATTGTGACAAAGAATAAATATAATGTATTAACAGATGTCATCGTGGTTGTCATCTCAACATGTTTGATAAGATGCCTATAACCATGGTGTGGTCATTCTTCAATTGTTTCTCTCCCTAACGAATCGATGGGAACGAAAAACCTGGTGATGTTTCGGAGAATGACCGATAGTTAGCGCCACAGTCGATTTTTGTCATTGTCAAATTTTAAAATTTGGAATTTGATGTTGAAACCAAGAAACATAAAAGAAGAAAAAGGAGAAGATGTTGACATCCAACATTTATCCATCCATAAACGGCATTTTTGTTGACTATAAATTTGAATTATTGTGACTTGGTATTATTTGGTGAAATTATTAAATTTTGGCGTTATTTGTGTGTTTTCCTGTTGCTCAGTAGCTTTTCTTTTTGGTTCTCCAGTTCAGTATTGTTTTTGTGTTCGTGTTGTGATTGTGTTTTATTCCTTTTTGAACAATGTATTTTTGTATTGTTTGTGGACAATCCAGAGATAGTTCTGTTCACTTGTACAGAGTCCCGAAGGTTAATATCTCAACATATTCCAAATAAAACATTTATTAAACGTGGTATGCATATTTTATTTTATGTAGGACGATGATATTAGACGAAAATGGTCTGAGGCAGTTGGTAAATTCTTGCCACCTGGAGATTTTCGGATATGTTCCAGCCATTTTTCGCCAGAATCCGTAAACATTATGAGGCTGAGAAAAGGACTAGTGCCTTTGAAACAGTAAATATTTATATAGCCATACTAATTACTCAGTTTCCAGACCATCAGTCAATATCATAATTGCCATCTTTAGCAAAGAAACCTATTCTTTTGATTCCTATCGATCTATACTCAATCTATATCAATAGCCTTATTATTGATGTCCATTTATCAAATATGAATAGAGTTCTATTTATGTTCTCTCAATGCATTTGTTCTACTCAAATTCCATTGTAAGCATACCTACTGATAATTTATTTTAGTACCTATACATAGGTTTCTTCATTTAGAAACTTTCTATTTTTTTTTGTTGATAACATATCTCTTCTATTATGATTAGTTAGTTTATTTATGATCCCATCACACCAATAACATAATATGGAAGATTCACTATAATTTACAACTGTTTACAGGGTGTTCAGTAACTAATTTATGCTATATATTTCAACCAAATTGAATGAATATAAAATCTCAGCAAAACCAAAAACTTTTATCAAATCAGAGTAAGGTGGCACCAGGTATTTATTTTCAGTTCATCAAATACCAGAGAACACCAAAGTGATCCTTCAATCAACAATTTGCACTTTAGAATAAATATTCTGCTGCACTCCTGCACATTTTGCAGGCTCTTGAATCAAAAGTTTTAGGCCTTGCAAAACTTCTTGAAGATTTTTTTCCCCTGAAATATTGTTTATCAATTTCGAGATGAATCTCTCTCTGAGGAATTGGTGGTGGTCTTCAAGTTCCATTTTGTTTTACAATCTGAGCAGTACTTTCAAATAATCCTCCATTTCCATAAAATTGAGTGGATATCTGTTGTATACCTCGCCAACATTCCCCTAAGAGAAATTGATAATAAAACATACTAGGACTTTTTTAGACACATTTTATTTCACTTTTGTTCTTCAACCAAATCAATGAATACATCTGAGAACTTATCTAAAAAAACAATGTAAGGAGGTATCTCAAGTGAATATTCAGAGCAGTAGAGGAAGATATTGGATTGGATTTATTTCAATAATTCAACTATTAATAGATGTTATCTGATGGTAATGGCTATTGAAAGATTATCAAATACAAAGAAGGGTTATCCTCTAAAATTTGCCAAATTTCGTCCAATTTGTTTCACTCATTTTTGGATAGCCTACAAAAATATGTTTTTTCATGTAAACTCTGAACCGGCTCACGGAAAAACGCTTAGTAGGCAATTAACCTATTTTGAACTGCATTACATGTGTAAGCTCTGTGTCCCAGCAATTTTAGGACACCCTGTATATGTTATATTTCTTTCGAAATTTACATTTGATGGATTAAAAGCCACTATATCTTGCACACTAGACTTGATTGAGTATCTCTCTGGTTTGGGTTTTTATTATTTGATGACTACCAGGATAAACCAGGACCATTTGGAAGTACTGTGAAAAATCTAAAAAAAAACAAACGAAATAAGTAGCACACATATTAAAATTTCAGCATTTCTTTGGTATGATGAGGGCTGCAGGGGGTAGCAACTCTCATCCAGAGTCAATCCAAGTTGGCCAAATTTTCAGGCTCATGTCTCTCTACTCTCTAATAAAGCCACCTCGTGGAAGTAATATCAGTGGTGGAGATATGATGAAGACATTGCTCAAAGTTGGAGAGCTCAAACCAGGAAAACGTTTGTTGAAATTTTATGAAGATTTGGATCTCATATGAATAGATTTTCTCCAATTGTCAGCAAGAATGAGACAGTGGTGTTTGGACACATCAGGCCTCATCACTCGCTCTCGGTCT